CCTCCCACGCCAAGGACCGGGCTGGCAGGGGACTAGACCCTGGCAGACAGCGTGACAAGCAGGAGAAGGAAGGTGCCTCTCTTACATAAACTGGGGCAAAGCCAAAGAAAGAACAGGCAAATGCTTCTCAATGAAGTGAGCATTACTTTGATATCAAAAGGTGCCTAAGGGCCAGGGATTTAGCTCAGTGGTGCCACCTCCTGCCTCGAAAGCACAAGGTCCCAAGTTCAATCCCCAGTACCCCCCAAAAAAAGTTCTCAAGATTTTTCCAAGAAAGAACAAAAGAAACTGTCTTAGACGTGAAGATTAATGAAAACCTCTAAATAAAATACTGAGCAGGATCTAAGAGTACCTTAAAGGAATCATATGACAGTGACTAAGTGGATTTGTTCCTGGAATGAAAGGATGGCTCAATACTAGGAATCCACTCACAGATTCATCATATTCACAGGTCTAAGAAGAAAAGTCCTAAGTCATAGTCAAGTCCATAGTCCCAGGAATCATAGTCTCCTGGGTACCTGAATTCAACAACTTTCATGATTAAAGAAAAACAAACCATGAAAGAATCCCTTTATCCCCAAGGAGTAGAGAAAGCCTTTCTAGTTATCACTCAAATGCCAAAAGTTAAAAAAGAAAAAAATGATAAATTCAATTACAAAAAAATCTATATGCTGAAAAAAAGAAAAGAACAATGACAACAACCTGGTATCAAAGTCCAAAATAAATTAGACCAAAAACAACTGTGCAACTTCTATCACAAAGAGCCAGCCTCCCCAATCTATAAAGGGCTTGTAGAAATTGGGAAGGCGAGGACAAATCGTAATTGAAAAATAGGTAAAGAATGTGAAGAAATAGTCTCAAGAAGGGACATACAAATACATCTTAAATTTATTGAGCAATGCTCAGTTTCACTCGGAAGAAAAAAACACATGAAATAAACACAGAGATGCCATTTTACCCATGATACTGGGGAGCCCCCACAGGTGTGACAGGGAAAAGGGGACAGTATTAAGTGGTGTGTCCCTGGGGAAGGTGAGGGCTGCTCCTCAAGGCCACCACCCACCTACCCTTCCCCAGAGCAAGCACCCTTCTAGAATCTTGTGTCACGGATGTGCCAGCCCACATTGGAAACAGTGTGTGTGCAATGTTCTTCCCTCAAGCTTTCTGTAACGTCAGAACTGCAACACAACTCAAGTGGCAAGGGCCGGAGACCCGTTAAACAGTGACACTAAATCTGTGCAGAGTGCCACACAACCCTGAAAGGCGGCCAAGGTAATGGTGGTGAGGAAGAAACATTCAACGCAAAGCTCCCTTTCTTGTAAAAAGGAGTAAAATAGGGATGCACATGTACCCTTGCTTATATTTTCAGAAAGAAAATCCACGGGATGCACAAGAGACTAAAAATGATTCTCTGTGGGCCAGTGTGGGTAGCTTGGAAAGGGTGGGCTGAGAGAGAGCCTTTTTATGGTTCATGTTTGCTGTTTTTGAACTCTACGAATTTACTATCTATTCAACAGTTTTAAAAGTTTACACATATGTTTGAGCATTCATTACAATTTTTCCAGAAGAATATACACTTTTGGTGGCAGCTGCCTCTGGGCAGTGAGAGAAAAGGACTCTTGGTTATCACATTACACATTTCTAGATCCTTTGGGCTGTTGCCATGTGTGTGTACACTTCTTTTTTTTTTTTTTTTGGTACCGGGGATCGAACTCCAGTCCTTGCGCTTGCAGGGTAGGCGGTGAAACCACTGAGCTAAATCCCTGGCTCCAATGTGTGTACACTTCTTAATAAAATATGGTTCATTTTTATGGCTTACATGTTCTTATTTCTGAATACACAGCAAAAGGTGTTGGTGCGGCTTCCTCTAGGGAAGCGGGTGATTGGGACCATATGTGAGCCCGTGACTTCCTACCTGCGTGGTGAAGGAAGGGTGGGAGGGCCCGGGGTGTGGCTCAGTGGTAGAGCATGTGCTTAGCATGTGCATGGCCCTGGTTTCCACCTCCAACACCCCCAAAAAGGACAAGAGCATTAATGAGGTTCTCTCCATCCTCCTTACTGAAAAAAAAAAAGTGATGAATTCTTTTTCTTTCTTTCTTTTTTTCAGTACCAGGGATGGAACTCAGGACCTTGTGCTTGAGAGACAAGGGGTGGCACCACTGAGCTAAATCCCAGCCCATGAGTGGGTGAATTCTGAGAGGTTCCCAGAGATAAATTTTTGTAACACAAAAGACCCAGGAGCCAGAAGCTGCCATGGGCAGTGACTTGGTGAGGGGGGAGGGGGAGAGCAGAGGCTTTGGTTGGCTGCGCTGTCACAGGACGTCTCCACAGTGATGGAGGTGATGCGCTGGGTGTGCCCTTGTGGCCCATCTGTGCCTCCTGCTCAGCAGGGTGAGGCCTGCTCCCCAGAACGTGAAGATCATTGGACATTTTATAGCTACTGTGTCTTTGACTTTCTGGTGGATCACTAGGCCTCTTCATGCAGATACAGTAAACCAGAGCCAGGATCTGCACCCCCAGGGGGCCCTGTCCCTACTGCATTGGGAACCCCAGAATGATCTTTGTCTTGGCACCAAACTCAGGCTCTGCCAGGGCTGCTGGGAGGCACTACACAGGGAACTCAGAGATCCCAGGGGCTGCTGAAATACTGTGGCTTCACCTGGGAAGGAAACAGAGGAGGAAGAAGGGGTCAAGTGTAATGGTGGTGGTGATAATAGTGTGGTGAGATGAAGATGATATCGGTGACAGTCGGTAATGGTGATGAGGCTGCAGATGGGGAGGATGGTGATGTGATGTTGCTGATGCTGATGATGACAGTGACAGTGGTGATGGAGACGGTGACAATGATGGTGGTGGCGATCATGATAATGTTGATGATGGTTGATAATGGCAATAATAGTGATGGTAGCTAACATTTATCGTTAGTCTCATTCACTGTGCCATTTAATCTTACTACTCTAGGTGGAAGACCCCATCTTGGAGATAAAGACACCCAAGGGCATTTGGCAGCCACCCTAGCTTCCAATTCACTTGACGGGAACCTTAGCTGGAAGAGTCAGTCCCACTGGCAGTTCCGCTTCTGTGAATGGTAGGGTTCACTTCACACAGGTCAGTTTAATGAGACACCCTGGAGGGCTTAGTGACCATAATCTGAGGCTGCCTCCCCTCCTCCCCACCTGCCCAGGTGCCCTTGGGGATGGGCTCCCAGGCAAGAATGAGCAGCTGGATTCTTAAAAATGTTGTGGTCCCAGGTGTGACCACCAGGTGGCAGAGCAGCTGCACTGAGTCCTGACCCCCAGCAGTCCCAGAAAAACAGAAATACATATTACAAATTCCTTGGCCTGGAAGCGGAAAGCCAGTTGGAGATTCCGGGAGCCTTCTGGCAAATCCAGGAAGGTTGACCTTCTGCTGTAAGCAAAACCGAGGGGTGTCTGTGACTGGCAAAGGGCAGGGAAGAAGAAACAAATTGTAAGAGCATATGGAAGAAGGAAGGAGGAAGGGAAATGAATTCCTCCCGGACACCTTGGTTTTCAGCAGCCCCCTGTGGCCCAGCACTTCTCAAAGTGAAAACCAGGGCTCAGGACAGCAGAATCCCCTGGGGGCAAGGGGAAACACCCCTCGGAGTTACATCCTGGGTCCAGGCCTTTCTGCTCCTAACCTAGAGTTTGCACAGCAAAGGAAGGAATTTCCGAGCAGGCCTTGGCACACGCCATTCAGGCTGCAGTTTGTAGCTGATGGCTGTGCCTGATTAGCCCTGCTCCCGGAGCCTCCTGTGCTTTAGGTGGCTTGGCGCTTCCCCAACTCTCTGTCTGCTACCTAAATATTCATAACAAGTTCCTGCTCAGAGACAGTGAGGAAGGAGCCCTGGCTTCGAAATCCAGTCCTAGAAGCCCGGCTCACCGACTTCCAGCTGGCCGCCATCCTGGCTGGGTTCCCCACACCCTCTGGGGAGGTTCTCAGAAGTTCAGGGTGCAGACACCCACCCACTCCTCACCTGCACTTCGACACTTCTCTCTGGAACTGACTCAGTCGATTCACCCTCATACCCTGGGAGGCGACTTGGGGCTGGCCCTAATTCTGACCCAAATCCTGTATTCCAGCTCTTAGCTGGGGTTTGCTACACAATAGGCCGCCCAGGAAGACTGGAGAGAGCTCACGCTTTGGAGTCTGGTTTGCATTTGGACTCTACTGTGTGACCTTGGGCAAGTTGCTTACCCTTTCTGAGCCCCGGTTTCCTTGTTAAAGAGAGTTAACGTCATTTCCCTCCTGGGCTGCTATAAGGAGTGGATGAGGGTACAGAACATGGGCATACAGCCAGCCTTGGGTGCCAGGAACAGCTGTCATTAAGAGGCACAACCCAGGGGGACCTGGGATGGAGCTGGCTCCACCCCTCCCCCCAAACCAAGCACGGAAGCTGAGCTAGCCTGGGATGATGGGACAGAAAGGCGTAACTTTGCACACTTCCCACCCTGGTGTCTGCCAGGCTCTGACCCACAAAGTGCTTCTAAGAGATGCCAGGAAATGGTAGCCATGGTTTCCACCCTAGGGAAGCTTATCGTCTAATTACGACAATCTGAAACCTCAGAATAGAAACTTCTAGAAATAGTGTGTCTGTGAGCAGCCTCCACGTGCCCCTGGCAAGCGGGTGCTCCTGGACGAGGAGGCCAGGCCGGGCTGGGTGGTCCTCCTGCCAGCTCCTCAGCTGAGGAGCCCTGACCTGATTGTCCCGATGGGTTACTTTTGAACCAACATTTTCCCACATGAATAGGCCCCAGGTAGAAGGCTCCAAAGGGTCTCGACCTAAGGACAAGATTAGCCGGCCAGCAAAGTTCCAGCTCCCACCAGCTCTTCACACATAAGCCTGGATGGAGCCCATGCTGAGATTAAACTTTAACCCAGCCAGGGAGGAGTGGCCGGGATTCTTCCTCCATGCTGTAATTCAGTAACATCATGGCTTTGTGGTTTACCTTTAAAAAAAAAAAAAGAAAAGAAACCTGCTTGACATTTCACTGTTGGTGTGGCAAACCCAGAAGGAGGCTCAGTCCTCTGAGGTCCTGACTTGTTGTAGCTCAGACATCCTGGGGAGGCCCAGGCATAGTGAGTGCTCTGCCCCCTGATATCCCCTCCACAGTGTTGGGACATCTGAAAAATCCTTGCAGGAGACAGGCTGAAGGGAAATTTTTTCAAACCATCCCAGGACAGCTCTGGACTGTCAGGTGCTCACCGGCTAGGGCGAGGCAGTACAAAGGGTCTTAGTGGCCTTGGACTGATTTTGCGACTGATCCCAAGCAGCAGGTCGAGGTCTGGGCTTGCCGCTCGCTGACCACCAGGGCCAGATCTGTGCATGGCATTTGAGGAGCTCCTGGAGCGAGCTGGGGGCATGGGTCTCTTCCAGGTTCTGCAGGTTGCCACCCTCCTCCTCCCCACCATCTTCACACCTTTTCATATGCTTCTGGAGAACTTCTCAGCCGCCATCCCGGACCACCGCTGCTGGACCCACATGCTGGACAATGGCTCCGAGACCTCTGCAAACCTTACCTATGAGGCCCTCCTGGCTGTATCCATCCCACCAGGCCCTGATCAGCAGCCCCACCCATGCCGCCGCTTCCGCCAGCCGCAGTGGCAGCTCCTGGACCCCAACACCACAGCCGCCAACTGGAGCGAGGCTGCCACGGAACCATGCGTGGATGGCTGGGTGTATGACCACAGCACCTTCACTGCCACCGTGGTGACCAAGGTAAGGGCCACCCCACACTGGCCATGCAGCTGCCCTCTTCCCAGCTGCCCCTGATGGCCACCCACCCTGTGAGGATTGACTCCCCTCCCTCATGTTAAAGAAAGAACAACTCAGAGATCCCTGCTAAAACATGGAAGACTATTTGAGACCATCGTGATGGGTACAGGAGACACAGCAATGGGGCTGGCAGTAATGAGAGACTGGACTCAGCTCACTAAAGGGGCAATTTATAGTCAAGGGATAGTTGGCGGCCAAGAAATGGAAAGTCACTCAGAGGAACCCTCAGGGGGTCCTGGCTGAACTGGACCCAGCAGCACTCCCACTGAGGCACTTCACCAGGGGATGGTTGGAGGATGTGAAATTTCAAGGTTGATCAGAAACCAAGGGTGGGAGTTTCTTGCTAAAGTGACTTAGCAGAACTCTTTGCTGAAATTGGATCTTATAAGAAAGCACCTAGTTAGGCCTGGGAGAAGGTTCCTAAGCCTGACAAAAGTTTGGTCAAGGGAAGAATTATCACTCAACACATGTGTTCTGGTGCTTATAGTGATTCAAGTTTGGATCTAGGCTGGGGTTGGAGGATGGATGAGGCCTCAGGGGGCAACAACCCAGCCTCTCAGTCAGTGCTCAGATCAGTCACAAGGGCAGAGCCCAGCCTTGCTGGCACCACTGAGGTGGCCGGCACTACTCTACACCTTGCCCTGGGGCCCTGACATTGCCACAGTCCCATGGGTGGATCCCATGTTGGCTCTTTTTAGTAAGGGGAGGAAAGTGTCAGATGTGTCTGTGAGACAGGCAGATCCCTTATCCCCCATGGCCTGTCACTAGGAACCCAGGGACTCTGTGCAGTGATTGGACCCCAAGGACCCAGGCTGACCAAGTTCTTTTCGGTTGGCTTTGCACCTGGCCCTCCCTCTGCCATCCCAGCCCCACCATGTTCTATTTCCTGAGCTGTCCCTGCTCCTCCCCTTGCAGTGGAACCTGGTGTGTGACTCTCAGGGCCTGAAGCCCATGGGGCAGTCTATCTACATGGCTGGCATCCTTGTGGGGTCCTTCATCTGGGGCCTCCTGTCCTACCGGTGAGTGTTCCCTCCCCTCCCAGCTCCCTAAGGTAGAATCGGGGATTGAGGGGGCCGAAGGCACAGAGGTTTCTTGAGAGCCTCTGTGTCCCTTAAGAAAAGGGGCTCCTGGGTCTCCCACATGTCACCAAGCCCCAGGGAGACACCCATTCTCAGGAACCTCAGTGAGCCCCTGTGCCTGCCCTGGGGGAAATTGATCTTCAGCTCCCTACTGAGCGCCAACTGTGTGTCAGGCCTTCTGGGAGAAGCGGGCTGTGACATAGAAACACAGGAACTGCAGGAGCAGGACAGGGCTGGACCCACCCTGGCTGCTAGAAGGGCTTCTCAGAGGAAGGTGGCTGAGGTGGGACTTGGCAAAGGAGAGAGGAAGCGAGAGGAGGCAGGTGTGCACTGAGGCTGAGTCGTTAAGCCCTGAGGGGCAAATGTCATCTGTATATCATGTGGGCCTAAGAGGTGGACAAAGGCCAAGCTCCGCAGTCCTGGAGGCCAGGTAAGACGTTCTGTCTCCCTAGACACCAGGCCCAGTGTCCCTCGCTCTCGGCGATGGCCTTGTCTCACTCTCACTCACCCCTGAGAGGGGGTCCTCATCTGCCCTCACCAGGGGGCCCAGGCCTCCTCTCCCTCTCCCTGCTCAGGCTCTCCCCTCCCTGGCCATCCCCACTAACCCACAGGCTGCTCCAGGTCTCCCCAGCCCCTGGCCTGGCCTGCAGAGTGAAGCCACCTGAGGCCATCTCCCATCGCCTCCCACTCCCGGCCAGATGTGGCCACTGACCCTCTTCCCCTTTCCGTGTAGCTGCCCTCACTCCCCGGCCAACAGCTCTTCTGCCCCTTTGTTCCTAGTCCCAACGCCTTCCCTGGATGCCCCATGGGGACCCAGGTGTCAGGGACACCCCAGCAGAGATGGGTGGAGAAGGGCAGCGGGAGGGGGGACCAAGTGCCCACTTTTTCGGGAAGCGGATTAGCCAGCTGGATTGGGAACTCCTCCGACGGACTGGTAATCTTTATGCTCCGACCTGAGATGAGAAGAAACATTCTTCTTCACTTGCTTCCTTCCCTCACCTTCTGGAACCTCCTAGGGAACTCAGCTTGAGCCCCTCCTGCTACTCAGCACCCCCAGGAGGGTGGGGTGGTAAGCTAGGACTTAGCCCAGCACCTTCTCCATGCTCCTCTATGTGAGGCAGTGCTACCCAGCGCTGGTGGCACTAAAATTGTCCCCACTTGCAGACCCACTTGCCCGATGGGCATCTCCGTCTAGGAGACCACGAGGCAGCTTGTGTCTACATGGCCAAAGTGGAGCTGCTGACTCTGCTTGCCCTCCCCTTGCCCCCAGACTCCATCCCAGAAAGCAGCCGGAGCCCTCCTGTGCCCTGAAGCAGAGGAGCTGTCCTCTGCTTTCCTCCTCTCACCTCACACTCTTGGGCTCCTCCTCCAAGAAACACCCTCCAGATTCCTCCCTTCCACGCCCCGGCTCTTGCCTGGACAGCTCTGCCACTGCCATTGATCTGGCTCCAGTGCTCAGAGGGACTCTGCATGGACTCATAAGTAGGGGGTTCTGGGGGATGGTGGTTTGAAGCACCCCAGCACTGAGGAGGAACTCAGCTGTGCTGGCCTCCTGGGAGAGGACTTGCCAGAGGGATGAGCCCACAGCTACCTCAACCCAGTGTCCTTCTTGGGGAGCCTCCTGGGCCCTGGCAACTGGCCCAGCCTAGGCACCCACTGGTTCAGCTCTGCTTCCCTCATTGCGGTACTTTCTGGACAGCACCAGGCTTGCTCTGTCCCCATGGGAGGTGAGAACACAAGGCTTTGGGGCCCAGCGCAGCACCTGGCATGTGCCAGGGACTCAGGCATCATTCTGCATAGGCACAGGTGGCTCCCAGTGTTGTCCAGCTGCTCTCTGACACTATCCACTACCTAGGTCCCACAGAAGCCTGGCCCTGGGAGGCAGTCTCTTCCCTGTGCCTCAGTCACCCCCATCATGGGGACTCACACCTCCCATGTGGTTATCATGAGGATTAACTGAGTTAATCCACATAAAGCCTGGAGCTGGGCCCAGCACAGAGGCATTGCTGCCATCATCCTGTCTTCCTGTGTGCAGCTGGGGGACTGAACAACAGGGGATATGTGGCCCAGTCTGTGTTGTTAAGGGACAGCCAGCTGCCGGGCATGGGTTACACAGGTCTGCCACCGGTCCTGCAGGGGTCGCCCATGTAAGAAGCCGGATCACTTTGGTCCTCTGGTCTCCTGGTGGGTCCCCTGTAGTCACCCTAAGGCCTAGACCAGGGTGCTCGACATGCAGGGGTCAAAGCCACGTCCCATCCCCATCTCCATCTGGCCAGCACATGGTTTAGTTGTGCTGACTGCAGTCAGCATTTCAGCTAAGCCTCCTGGAGGTTGCAGTGGCACAGGGAGTGGTACAGGCTGAGTGATCTGGACAGGCTCCCTGGGACTTCCTGCCCCAGGCACAGGGTTGGGCAGGGCTGGTTTCCCCACGGTCATGGGCACTTGGTCTCCTTGCTCCCCTTCCCCCTTTCTCCGGACCTTCACATTCACAACCCACACTCTATGAGGCCCATCATTATGGGCACCCACTCACATGCCCAAGGTCACCAGAAAGGGCAGTGCTGGACTCAGACCCAGGCATCTGACTCCAGGGTCCTGGGAACGAGGCATCTGCCACTGTGATAACTAAAGCCCTCTGTGTGGGCTCTGAGCTGCGCCATGAGGGAGGAGCTGCCAGCACTGGTCTCCCCAGCTTTGCCAGGCTAGCAGCACACACACCTTTCGGCACGGGCCTCTCCAGGCCCCCCATGGTCATCTCCTCCACAGGCTCGGGCGGAAGCCAATGCTGAGCTGGTGCTGCCTACAGGTGGCCGTGGCCGGAACCGGCACAACCTTTGCCCCAAATTTCCTCATCTACTGTGGCCTCCGGTTCCTGAGTGCCTTTGGGCTGGCTGGCATCATCCTGGTGTTGTCAACACTAAGTGAGCCCCTCTCTCAGGAGCCTGCCAGGTGGGGCAAGGGGGGACAGGAGGGGACAAGATCTCACCTGTATGTCCTTGCAGTAGCAGAGTGGACCACGACCCGCAGGAGGGCTGTCACCATGATGATACTGGGATGCACCTACAGCACAGGCCAGATGGCCGTGGCAGGCCTGGCCTTCATCCTGCGGGACTGGCAGGACCTCCAGCTGGCCACATCCATGCCCTTATTGGCCTTCTCCTTGGTATCTTGGTCAGTGAGGTTCGGAGCTTCCTCCAGGAGGTGACATGGGGGGGGGGTCGCGGAGGTCCCTTCCTCCCACTGTGCTGGAGGGCAATGGCTTGCGCCAGACCCTCCCTGGGGACAGACAATGGCTTCTCTTGGGGGAGTGTCAGCCCAAGGCCTGTGGCTCCTGGCCAGCCTAGTCAGGCATCCATCTGCCGGCACATCACTGGCTCAATGGTATAAAAAAAATTTCAGTGATGTTAAAAAGAAAAAATATATTTATAGCTAGTGGCCAGAATTTAAAACTCAGGAGATATTTTGAAACAAAGATAAACAATATTTCTACCTTTTCTAAAAAATGGAAAGATCTGGGGGTACCAGAGTAAAGTCTGGCTGGAATCCAGCAACAAGCCCTGTCCCCAGGACTGGGCCCAAGGCATTATCCCTCCCACATGCTGGCACCATCCCAACCCACCAGCCTCACTCCTTCCTGTCACTTGGCATCCAAGTCAGTGAGGACCAGTGGATATGAAAATAGATCATTGTCACTATGTTTTTGGTGATGCAAAAATCCCTGAGGTCTGGAAATACCTGCTTGGGTGGGAGTAGGGGAAAGGGACAAGGGAAACAAATGCAAATCAATGTCACCCTAGTTCTCTTGTGTCCTTGAGCCAGCGGCAAGCAGAGCTAGCCAGATAAGCCTACTGTGAGGGTGCAAAGAATAACAACTACTGGCATATTCATTCTCAAATAGTTACTGAGCTCCTGCCCCAGGCCAGACGTGGCTCTGGGCATTGGACACACACCGGTGACCAAAAAGAGACAAAAAGCCACGAGCAACATGGAATTTATGTTCTGTAAGCAGATCAACAAGCAAGGAGGAAGGCCATCCCATAATCACATGTATTAGGCCACTGGGTCACACAAGTCAGGACCGTAACACCAGAGCCAGTGCAGCGATGTGTCTTATGAAGAAGGTGGTGTTACGGCCACCCTTTTCAGATGAGGGACGGAGGCTCAGAGAGGTTAAGCAGCTCATCCAAGGTCACCCGCCGGTGAGTGCCAAGGGAACGATTTGAGCCCTGGCAGGCCAGCTCTTTCAGCAGCTGTGTCAACCTGCCCAGGAAAGTTCCTAGCTTCTCTGCAAACAGGGCTCAGCCCCAGTACACTGGGCAAACTCTCTACCTTTCACTGGGGCAAGGCCTCTGCAGGCCCATCTGCCTGAGAGATTGGCTGCTATATAGACTCACCCAGTTCTGCCTGGAGTAGTTTTAAATATGAAACAAAGTACACCAAAGAAACCACAAAAACCTCAGCCTCATGCAGCCTTTCCATCACTGAAATGTCCCCACAACTACTGAAGGGGTGGCCACTCTTGGGACACCCCTGCCAGTCAGCCTTGCCCTGGCCAGATGCATGGCTTGGGTGAGCAGGCTCTTGGCAGCCAGGTAGGCCAGGTGGGATGGCATGGGAAGAGGGTGCCTAGGGGTTGGAGCTCAGTTCTATTCTGAGCCTCCTAGCCTGGCATTAGCAGCTCAAAGAGTAATGCTTGTCTTCTTTGTCTCATTGGGCTGGAGGGCCCTCACCCTCACCTCACCCTCACCTCACCCTTCCCCCAACCGGGGAAACACAAGACAGCAAATCCTCCCGGCCACATACCTGCTTCTTTAACAGGTGGCTGCCAGAATCTGCCAGATGGCTGATTATTACAGGCCAACCAGACAGAGCACTTCAGGAACTCAAAAAGGTGGCCAGGATAAATGGCCACAAGGAAGCCAGAAAGACACTGACCATAGAGGTGAGATGATGCTATTTGTGACACAGAGTGTTGACTCAATGTGGGAAAGGCCATCCACGATCACCCACATTACTGCCCACCCATATCATCACCGCTCCCTCAGCTCTGCCATGGCCTCGCCACAAGCATCTCTACAAAACACCCACACCGATGCCATCACCGTCGCCATCACCACCAATCACTGTCACCACCAATAACAGCAGGACTGTTTTCCACACCCTCAACTGCTTACCACCATCCACGTCCACCGTCTCCTTCCCTCCATCGCCACCATCATCACCTCCACCAGCGCAATTCCATCTCCATCCCCATCACCACTACCCTCACCACACCCACCAACATCCACCTGCCCCTCTTCACCACCCCCACCATCCTCCATCACCACTGTCTCACCAGTCTCGATGATGCCTCTATTGTCACCTGTGTCACAGATGCCCACCACTCATCCCATGTGCACTGCACACCTGCCTCTCAGACTTCTCAGTGTATTTGAGGAAACAGAGCATGCTTCTTTGAAGGTAGCTATTTTGAGGAAGCAGGTGTCAGATGAAGGATGTGCTGCCAGAAACGAGAAGACAGCTCCTTGGAGGTGGGAGGATGAGGAAGGCTTCCAGGAGGAGGCAAACTAGAGCTGATGGCCCTGAGCTGAATGCAGAGGTGCAAGAGCACTGGGTGGGCACTTGGGGAGCAAGGTGGTGGCTTGGCCCAGGCAGGCACGTCCTGGTGCCAGCCACAAAGGTGGAGGAGGGAGGCTTGTGCAGCACCTACCAAGAGTAGCCTGCTGCTCAGGGCACCAGAGCCGGGACACAGGCCTCTCCTTGGCTCATGTTCATGGGCCAGGCCTGAAGAAGAGTGAGGGAACCAGACAGAGAGATTCTTCTTCCCCATGCTCTCCCAGCCCAGGGGACACCGGCATCCAGAGGCCAAAGTTAAGCCTCCCTGTCACTCTATCCTCCTGACTCCATTCCTTGGCAGACAGGCAGGACAGGGCCATGGTCCCAACAATCACTGTGTCCCCATTCTCCCCGGAGGTGCTGATGTCCAGCATGAAGGAGGAGGCGGTCTCTGCAAGGGCGCACACGTCGGTGCTGGACCTGATCCGCATGCCCGCGCTCCGCAGGAGGATCTGCACCATGCTGGTGGTGAAGTATGCAGACCTGGTCACCACTCCTGGAGACAGGGCTGTGACCAGGGAATGTGGCATTCTCAGGCCTCCCAAGGTGGGGGACAGGGTTGCTAGGCGGGGTCCAGAGGCTGGCCTGCACAGGAAGCCGCTGCAGCAGAGTGGGGATGGCATCTCCTGCAGGGGACCAGGGTCAGACTGAAGCCAGGGGATTGACACAGCTGAAGCCTTGGAGACTCATCCTAACAGCTGTGGTCCTGGAGGTTGATGTGCACTAGGTGCCCCCTCACCCCTTACAGCACCTCATTTCATAGAGGGGACCCAATGAGGTGAGTAGCTGTCCCCATGATGGAGCCACCTGGGAATCCAGGCTGTGGTCTGTGTGTCACCTGTCATTCCACATGGAGGAGGCCCTGCCTGGGTCCCCAGGGGTTCCTGGGTCCAGTAAAAAAAAAAAACAAAACCCTAGATTTCAGTTGCAGTGACATGCAAGACAGCATATTAGGAATGAGAATCAGACTTGACTGAAACTTCATTTCAAAGCTAAAGATTAGGAAAACTTTTTTTTTTTGGTACTGAGGATCGAACTCGGGACCTTGCACTTGCAAGGCAGGTGCCAGAACCACTGAGCTAAATCCCCAGCCCAGAAAATGTTTATTTTATGCTATATTTAACCACCAATAGGTTATTATAGCAAATATTTGTTATGTTTCTGAACAAAAAAGGAGATCAAATGCTTTTCTAAATCTTTTTATTTTTAGCCTAATTGTTTTTCCTGATAAATTAGAAGCAGACCAACATCCAGCCCCCCCCCTTTAAAATCCTTCCCAGATTCATGGCTTCTCCCAGGGCTACCTTTGAGCATTGTTTATTATTCAAATCAGAGGGTTTGAAGCCCTAACTCCGGGTTCTTGCCGCCATCCAAGGCTCCAGATCCTCCCAGTGAAGCCTGGCCTCCCTTGAGTGTCACTTGGGTAAACTTCTTGAAAGGCTGCAGGGCCTTCTTGGTTGCTTCTCCTGTCTGCAGTGGTGACCCAGGCTGTGGGTGTCTATCCGGAGAAGCCACTGAAGGGCTGAGATGAGTGACTAGTTATGCAGGGAGGGGCACAGATTTTTTAAATGATAGAGAATCATTCACTATGGGGCCATTAATAAACCTGAATTCCAACTCTAAACTTTGGAAGTTCAGATACTTTAAGTTCAGTTATTCGGGAGCATGGGGATGGGATGGCCCACCTCAGCAGCAGACAGAGACACGAAGCAGGGTGTGGAGCTCAGGTTCTCTAGCCCCTACAGATCTGTTAGGAGGTGCTGTCCCCCACTGTAAGGGAGTGCTCCCAGGGGCAGGGGAATAAGGTGTCTGGGAAAGGAAGAAGCCCTGCCCCTCCTCTGGTATCTAGAGAGGTACAGAAGGAGCATGACTCATCTGGAAACCAAGCCAAGGAGCCAGAGTGGCACTGAAAGGACAGCTCAGCATGGCCCAGAGACCCCCGGGGCAGCCTAGGTGCCAGCACAGAAAGGGTCATGTCTGCCAGGTGAGCAGTGACTACACAGCCCAAGAGGTGACACCCAGCCCATCACCACCCTGTCCATGGCCCGTGTGTCAAACAGACTAGGCTGTTGGTTCCCAGACCTTTCCTTGGACGAGCCTGACCTGGGAGACATGACCTGCTCTCTACAGTGTCTGTGGAGCTCTGGCCATGTCAAGCCGTGTGGGGCCATCCTCCCAGACAGCCTGCTTCGGGCTGGGGTCCCTCTCCTCTGTACTGGACTGACTTCTGGCTCTGTCCTGCAGCTTCTCTGTGCAGTTGTCCTACTATGGGCTGGTCCTGGACCTGCAGAGCCTGGGCAGGGACATCTTCCTCCTGCAGGCCCTATTCGGGGCCGTGGACTTCCTGGGCCGGGCCACCACTGTCCTCTTGTTCAGGTTCCTCGGCCGCCGCATGACCCAGGCTGGCTCCCTGTCCCTGGCCGGCTTCTGCATCCTGGCCAATGCGCTGATGCCTCAAGGTGAAGTAGGGCCTGGGCCTGCTGTCCTGTTCTGCTCCAGACCTCCTTCCTGCCCCTGCCCCCAGGAGGTGTGTTTCTGCAGCCCAGCCACCATGTGCCAGCTCTGCCCAGTCCGTGTCTGTCACAGCCTCTGCTCCAATCCAATCCCCTCCCCCATGGCCATATCCCACCCCCTTTCCTGAGGTTCAGAGAGGTGAAGCAAGTGTCCAGTGTCACCTATCTGATGAGTGACAGACCAGGACTTGGACCTGAGGGGACAGGAAAAGTGTGGAAGGCTGGCTGTTCAAACTGAGGCCAAGAGGGAACCAAGCAGAGTGTGTGTGTGTGTGTGTGTGTGTGTGCATTTCTCTGTGTGTGCACATCTGTTTGTGTGTGTTTATGCACATCTGTGTGTGCACATGCATGCATATGCATTTTTTCCTTGCTGTTACAGCACCAAATCACTGGTGTCCAGAGAGCTGGGGAGGCTTCAAAGTCTCTGTCTTACTTTTTCTCTTGCCCTGAAATCCTCTCCAGGCCTCCTTTTATCACTCTGGGCTGGAGAGTGGGGGCAAGGGACTGGGACAGGCAGCCTGCAGTGGCAGCAAAGCCAAGAGGAGCGCAGGAAGATGCACTGCAGCCAATAGTTGGGAGGGTCTGTGCCAGGCAGAGGATGGTGGCTGTAGGCCCCACAGCCCATGGCTCCAATCCAAATGAAAGCAATGTGTAGCCTGGCACCATAGCAGCCCTGCCAGCAACCGGTGGGAGAGCCCAGCCTGGCTGCCCCTGGGGCCGCTTGGGTGGACCCCACTCAAGTTTTCCCTCTGCCCAGATCTGCAGAGCTGGCGAGTGGCTTTTGCTGTCCTGGGGAAAGGATGCTTTGGAATCAGCCTGACCTGCCTCACCATCTACAGGACAGAGCTCTTCCCCACTCCACTGCGGTAGGCTGGGCTGGGCTCTGAAGGGGCTGCCAGGCCTCCGGTGGGGTGGGAGATGGACACTCTGGGAGGGCCACTGGGGAGGTTGGGTGCAGGGATCTGAAGCTGGGCTGGGGGAGGGGCTCCAGACTTGCCCTCCCAAGGAAGGTTTAGTCTCAGGAGGCTGGGGTGCAGGCAGTCTGTAGGGCATCCTGGTGTGACCCCAGTGCCCTCAGTGTTTCCTTTCTGTTCAGGTGGAATCTTAAAAGAACACTGGTAGCTGGGCATGGTGGCACATGCCTGTAATCCTAGCACTCTGGGAGGCTGAGACAGGAGGATTGCCAAGTTCAAGCCAAGACTTTATCTCAAGCAAAATAAGTAAATAAATACATATGTACGTAAATACCTAAATAAATAAGAGCTAGGGTTATAGTTTAGTGCAAAGGATCTGGGATCAGTATCCAGTAGTACAAAAAATAATGTATAATATATAAATAAATAAGAACCGTGTGAGGAGACTAAGAGCTGCCCAGGTGACTGTGAGGCTCCTGCCCTCCCTGCCCCAAGAAAGCCTCCAGTCTCCTTCATCTCCTAAGAACCCAAAGGAGTATCTGCCTCCCCCACAATTAACAGTGGGGTAAACTGAGGCTCAGGGTGAAGGACTCACTCAATGGAGGCTGGCCTGGGAACCTGCCATCAACTTTAGCCCAGCTTTCTTCCTCCTGCTCAGGAGGAAATGAGGCTCCCTCACTTAGCCATTCTTTCTGGCACATTTTCTGATGACATTTACTGGTTTTGTGCTCTCCTAGGGAGCCTGGGCCCCCAGTGACCCTCAGGCAGGGACACACAGGGGCTCTCAAGAATTTCCCCAAAGCCCAGATGGGAAAATTCAGGCAGGCTCCAAGGAGGAGGCCTTGAGAGGGCAGCACCAAGCAGCTCTCAAGCCCCCGCCCCCATGCCAGCCACCGGGGCAACCACGATTGGCACCTTCCCCATAGGATGACCGCAGAAGGCTTCTTGCAGTCAGTCGGCCGCCTGGGGGCAATGATGGGCCCCCTGATCAGGATGGCCCGCCAGGCCCTGCCCTTGCTGCCTCCGCTGTGCTACGGTATCATCCCTGTGGCTTCCAGCCTGGTTCTCCTGCTCTTCCTCCCAGAGACCCAGGATCTTCCACTTCCTGACACCATCTGGGACCTGCAGGGGCGGTGAGTGTGTGACACGGATGGGGATCCCCGGCTCAAGAGCACAGAGGTGTGGAGGGAGGCTGGTGATCCCCAATCCAACTCATCTTTACAATCCTGCCAGGAAGGCACCATTCCTACTCCCATTTCTGGGTGGAGAAACAGAGGGTTGGAGAGACAAAATGACTGTTCCCAGGTAGAAAGCAATTGTGCCTTAGGCAGGAAATGTCATGGCTAGGTCATGGCTCAGCCACCACTTTCTTGGGGAAGTTACATAATCTCACTCACCAAAACTGATTGGGAAGACTAAGACAGGCTCCACTGCCCTGGGAGTGTTCCCAGAACCCCAGGCCTGGGTAGTTCAATGTTCCAAAGCCCCAGAGACACACACTTGCCATCTTTCTGCCTGCTTTGAAAGAACAGGACAGAGGGAAAACTCCCCAGCTTTGTAGTGTAGCCAGGATCTCTCCTGCATGCTTCAGCTCCCCATATGTAAAATGAGTGTTAAAAGAAAAAAACAAAACAAAAAACCCGCCCCACCTACTCATCAAGTTGTTCTCAGGCTAAAGTAGATGAGTAGATAAAGGCTGTGGAGCAATCTGTCCCTGTGCCTGCTGGGTCCTGGGGGAGGGTGCTCCTGGGGACACCTCCAGCTGAGCAGGAACTAAGGTCATGACTGTGGTGACAACAGTTGGTACTCAGTGAGGCCTTGCCATTGTCACGCTAAGGTGGCAGTTTATGAAAGCAATATAACAACCCCACAAGGTGCTGTGATTGTCTGATTTCACTGGAGAGGGATTTGAGATGCAGAAAGATTAGTAACTTAGCTAAGGGCAGCCAAGTGGGGGTGGGTGGGGAGCTGGCACTTTCTTCTTTCATTTAATTTATTGTTGTCTGTACCTACTATATATCAGCCACTGTTCTAGGCTCTGGGTATCCAGGGGAGAACAAAACCCTAATATTGTAGAGCTCCCATTCCTGTGAGACCTGATGCCAGCTCTGCCCTCCAAGCAGGCAGCCCTTTTGTCACATCTCTTTGAATTATCCTAGGAGATCAGATGCAACTGGAGGCCACCGGCAAGAGGCAGTCATTATGGAAAGCACCTGGCTCTAGTTCTGCCTGCATGGAGTCCCTTTGGTCAAAAACACCTGAGGAAGAATTTGCCTCTTCTCCAATCTGCAAACTGAGGCTTCCAGAGTAGTGGGGCCCCTGGGAGGGTATGTGGGCAGGGAGTGGAACCCCACTTGGGTAAGGATAACAAGAATTGCCTTCACTCCCTCCTTACTGAAGGGACCTCTCTCACATCCAATGCCTACCAGATTAATTTTCCTCCACATAGCTCCCAAATACATCTGTTTCTCCTTTGCTATGGCTGCCACCTTGGTCCATGCTATCATCAGGTATGGTGCCCAAACTGGTTCCTGACACCTACACTGTCTTCTACACAACAGCTACCATGTTTATTTAGAAACTTAATTCAAGCCAAATCCCCTCCCTGCGTAAAACCTTCTAGGACTCATAATAAACATCACTCTTCTTACCGAAAAGGGGCTGGGTCCAGTTGTGGGTCCCCAGCTTTCTTTGACATATAATAAATTTTAAAGGATTCAAATCACATGAAGAATGTTCTTGGGCAATCATGGAATTGAATTAGTAACAAAAATCAGTAACAAAAAATATCCAGTAAACCTCTTCCAACTAGACAATGAAGTTCTAAATGACTCATCAGTCAGAAAAGAAATCAAAAAAGAAATATGTTGAATTGAGTTAAAATGAAAGAATGACATTAAGATCTGTGAAATGAGGCTAAAGCAGTGATTAGAGAAAATATTATATCATTAAATGCCTATGTTAGAAAAAGAGAAACTCTCAAGTGCCCCAGCTTCCCCTTTAAAAAACAAAAAATAAAAAATGAGTTAACTCAACCTACAGGAAACAGTAGAAAGAAAATAACAAATCAGAGAAAAAAAACCCTAAAGATAAAGAAAAAACCTAAGATAGTTCTTTGAGAAGATCAACAAAATGTATAAAGCTCTAGCCACAGAGATAAGAACAGAAAGAAAAGACACCCACTAACATTATAGAGAACAAGACAGGAAGCATCAGTACAGATTCTACAGAGCAATTACAAATACTATTTTATCAAGACATTCAACAACTTAGGCAAAACTTTCAAATTTCTTGAAGAATGTAATGTCAAACCACACTCAAGAGGAAATATATAACCTTATTAGCTCTGAATCTTTTTTTTTTGGTACCGGGGATGGAGTTTGGGACCTTGCGGTTGTGAGGCAGGCACTGGAACCACTGAGCTAAATCCCCGGCCCAGCTCTGAATCTGTTAAAGAAATTAAATTTATAGTTGAAAACCCTCTCACAGAGAAAACTCCAGGCCTGGATAGCTTTACTGGTCTGTCAAACATTTAAGCAAGAAAAGATTGCAATTCTACACAAACTCTTCCAGAAAATTGAAAAAAAAGATAACAATTCCCAATTTATTATATGAGATCAGCATTACTTTGATACCAAAACCAGAAAGAAGGACATTACAAAAAGCCCTGTAAATCTGTATCTCTTATGAACATAGACAAAAAAAAAATTTTTTTTTAAGGTTTTTTTCAGTGCTTGGGATCAAAAGGACTCCATGCATGCTATACCAAGGCACTAGCACTGAGCAATTCCCCCAACCCAAGACACAAAAATTCTTAACAGCAAGTGGAATCTAATAACATATTGGAAAAGGACATCATGACCAAATGGACTTTATTCCAGGAGCACAAAACAAAGTTGGCTTAACATTTGAAAATCAAGGTTAAAAAACTAAATTATTAACAAACTAAAATTATTAACAATAGATACAGAAAAAGCATTTAACAAAACTTAAAACCTAGTTCTGATAACACTCAATAAACTAGTGTTGGGAGTACGTCCCCAGACTTAATTTGAAAGTGTAGATAATAAAGCATTCAGACACCAAGAAATCTCAACAAGGATTTTTGCTTTTGCAGAAGGTCGCAAGTGTGCTCTAGCATGCAGTAGCAGGTGTGCAGGACAAAGGAGGGTTGACCCTTTTATTCCTAAGTCAGGAGAATCAGCTGACCCTTTTCCCATCGGCTGGTTTGAAGGTCCACAGTTTGTCTCAAGTGGCTAGTTTAAGCAGCGGGAGGGGAGGACCTGGAGGATTGCTGGGCAGGGTTACTAAGAGAGGGGTGAGGGGGTGTATGCGGACTGAAAGTCCTTGGCTGTTGATAAGTTACCTTTGGTGGTCAGCCATGTTCCCAGAATCTAAGCTGTCATCTTTCTGTAAGGGTCAGGGGCAGCCTAGGGTGAACTAGGGCACTCCTGTTTATAGCCCTTGATGAAAAAGACCTTGTTTCCTACACTAGGATTCAAAGGGGGTTGCTGCTACCACCAGATAACATCGCATTTATGGGGTAAAAGACTGAATGTTTTCCCCTAAGATCAGGAATGAAGCTAAGATGTCTACTCTCACCACTTCTATTCAACATTGGAGGGCCGAGGATTAGCTCAGTGGCACCGCACCTGCCTTGCAAGTGCAAGGTCCTGTGTTTGATCCCTGGTGCCCCCCCCCAAAAAAGGGCCCAGTCAGAATAATAAGGCAAGAAATGTAAATAAAAGGCATGCAGATTGCACAGAAAGACACAAAACTGTCTTTATTTGCCAATGACATAACTGTCTATATACAGAATCCTAAGGAATCCATTAGAACTAATAAGTGAGTTTAGTAAAGCTACAGGACTCAAAGTCAATATAGGAAACTTTATTGTATTTCTATATACTAGAAACTACCAGACACTGAACATTTAATATAATACCATTTTGCAACAGCATAGCAGAAAAAGTGATACCTAAGAATAAATTCAACAAAAGAAAAGGTAATCCCATAAACTGAAAACTACAGAATATTGCAGCAAGCTAGTAAAGAAGGCCTAAATATTTAGACAGATGTACCATGTTCAAGAATGGGAAAACTCAATATTCTCACATTGATTCTCCACAATTTAATCCAGAGAGTCAATGAGATCCCAATCAAAATGCCAATACCTATTTTGTGTAAATTGACAAGCACATCCTAAGATTTAGATAAATAATGCAAAAAATCTATATTAGCTAAAACAATTTAGCAAATGAACCAAGGGCTGGGGGTGTAGCTCAGGGATGAAACATTTGCCTAGCATGTACAGAGCCCTGGGTTCAATCCCCAGTCCTTGAAAACTATAAAAGAAAAAATTATAAATTCGACTCCATAAAGGCTAAAAACTTCTGCTTCCCAGAAGATATTTTTATAAGAGTAAGAAGGCCAGCCACAAACTTGGGGAAAATAGTTGAATAATTGCTATCTGACAAAAGATTTCTATTTAGGAAATAGGAACAATGCTTACAACTCAACAATAAAACAGCCAAATTTTAAAAACAGGCAAAAGATTTGGACAGAAACTTCACCAAAGAGGATGTATGGACAGCAAATACACACATGACATGATGCTCAACATTAGGAAAATGTAAATGAAAGCCACAGCACATTCTACCACATCCCTCAAGGATGCCAAAGCTTGAAAAGGCCAAGCATTGATGAGAATGTGGAGGGACTGTGGGGATATAAAAGAGAACAACCACTTTGCAAAAGAGTATGGCAGTTTCTTAAAAAATTTAACACCCAGGACTGTGAGTGTAGCTCCGTGGCAGAGCTCTTGCGTAGTATGTGCAAGGCCCTAGGTTTCACTGTAAGGATAGCAAAGCAATTTAGCATCCACCCATCATAGCACCCAACCGCCCCACTCCAGAGTGCATAGAGAAACTGGATTGTGTGCCATGTAGTGCTTTGTACTCAAGTGTTTATGACAGCTTTGTTTTCAATTTGCAAGAGCTAGAAACAACCCAAATATCAGTCAACAGATGAATAGGTAAGCAAAGTTCAGTATAACCATTAGATGGAACACTGTTTATATAAAACTTATATATTTGTATACAATTCCAGGAAATGCAAACTAATCTATAGTGACAGAGGGTAGATCAGTGTTTTCCCAAGACTCAGGGAGGCAACCAAGGGAGAGGGGCAAAGTAGCACTTGATGGGGGTACTATTGTTGGCAATCACCCTAGGATTTTTTTGCTCAATTCAGATGGAAATTGTGAATGGGCAAAGTGCAATTCTGCTAACAGGCCTGATGTCACTAAATGATACCAGAAAATGCTATATGCCAACAGCTGACACTTCCAGCTGCTGGTCATTGATGCTACTGTCCACTGCCTGTAGGCCGACTCTACCAGGTGCTCGTCTTTGCTGCCAATATTCATTGGCTGCTGATCTCTGGAGCTCTTCCGTGCTAACAGCCCCTACTATTTATTGCTCTTTCTTTTGAGCCAACCATTCTGTCCACACTATTCAGAATAAGAATCCTGAGTAGATTTACAGGACATTTGCAGCCCACGCTGCCTGAAAAGCAAATCACAAGCAGGTTTACAGAACCACCAAAGTGAGTGTCTTAACAGAGCCTGTACTGCAGCACATGGGGGTCAGTACACTGGAAGGATCCCTCCCACACTAGCCCAAGAAGTGGCTGGAGAGTGCTGCTTATATAGCAGCTGCAGGCCTGTGATTGGTCCAAGTAGAGGTCTGTAATTGGTGCAGGGCTCCAGGACAGCCTCAGTTGTCATGGTGACAATCTAGCAAGGGGGCAGGGCTAAAGCCAGGGAATCTTCTGGAAGACTAGCTGTGGGGGTTGGAGAAGTTAACAATGGGCCCAGATCCCTTCCTCCCTGATCTTAGCCATGCCAGGGCACCCCTCCCTACTTCATAAAGGCAACAGTAGCGTCTGAAGGGGTAAGAGTGGGGAAGGGCCCTGAGCTGATAGTCCAGCTGCCCCCATGTTGAAGTGGAATGGAGGAGAGTGGCTGTTAGTGAGCCAGGGAGGACACTGAAGCAAGTTGTCCTGCGCTGTGGGGCAGGGGCGGGGGAGCAAAGGGGAGGGTCAGGGAGGAGCGTGACAGGTGTTTCATTCCTGTCTTGGTACAGCCTTGGTCATAGAGATGGTTGTGCTCAGTTATACTCAAGACAATTTATACAATAAACTATAATCAAACTTTAAGATGCCAGGGCTGGGAATGTGGCTCAGGGGTAGAGCTTTTACCACAAAAGAAATTTTTTACAATTAGAACAAAACAAATTCCCACGTATCCACAACCTAGCTGAAGAAATAGGACCTTACCAGTATCTGACAGCTGCCTATATGGTCCCTCTCAATCATGTCGCCCTCCCAAGGTAGCCACCACCCTAAATTCTCTTGTTCTCCTCATACATGTACTACCTGTTTCTATAGCCCTCAACAGCATGCCATTTAGTGGTCCCAGCGTAGGATTCCATGGTCTTTTATGGTTTACTTCTTTCAACTCAAGCTCAGTACCGGCACACAGCCTTGTCTGTGGCTGAGAAGGTGTAGGATGTGGACAGGGAGCACAGGTGAAAGGGAAAGGGGCCAAGGCACAGGGGCTGGAGGGGCCAGCAGGCTGGGTGGAAGAAGGGACGTCTCTGCTGAGACTCTGGGGAAGACACAAGGCAGGGGGAGGTGTGGGGGGCGGGGCTGAGGTGGCAAAAG